ACAGCGAGAATATAGGCGATCTGGATGTAAAGTTGCTTCCAGTGCTTGTTGGGGAATCCACCTTGAATACCGTTGTTCACACCATCGAGGCCGATGATGTAGTCAGCACCGAGAAGACCATTAAAGATAAGACCAATCATTCCAGCAACACCGTGCTCAGCGAAGACATCCATAGCATCGTCAATGCGGACATAGTACTTAACTGCATGGATATCAGTATAAATTCTACTCAATGTTGGAGTTGAAGTTGGAGGGGCGTACTCTTTGTAGCATAATTGCAGACGACACCAGTCACAACTCCCAATAGAATGCTTGCATGGGGCGAGAGGAATCCAGATGCAGGAGTAGCAGCAACAAGCCCCGAAATAACTCCTGAGCAAAGACCAACCATTGACCACTTCTTTGCAAGTCTAAAGTCGAGCAAGGTCCAGGTAATTCCAGAGAAAGCAGCAGTAAGGTTAGAGTTCCAGCAAGCCATCACAGCACGGAGGTTTGCACCGAAGGCAGAACCACCGTTGAACCCGAGCCATCCAAACCACAGAAGAATTGTACCAAGCGTGATGAGTGAGACGTTGTGAGGTCGGAAGTTGAGAAGCATCTTCTCTTGGCGCTTCCCGAGCACGAGAGAATAAGCGAGGGCACTGACACCAGAAGCAATCTCGACAGGTCCACCACCTATGCGTGCACGAACATTTTGTTAGTTTTACATGATTCCCCTGGTTTTGAAGTGTTTCTGTTATGTAAGATTTACCTGCGTAATCCAAGACGCCATAGTTGAACGCCCATCCGTTGACGTTCCACACCCAGCATGCAATAGGACAGTAGACGATCGTTGCCCACAAGAAAGAGAAAACCATCGCAGGAAGTACTCTCCCACGCTCAGCAATAGCACCCATAACGATAGCGACTGTAACAGCGGCAAATTGCATCTACAGCGTCTGGTCAGCCAAAAAATTTCGCTTACTCATAGAAAGCGAGTCCTACCTGATAGAACGAGTACAAAAGCTCCGGAACCAGCGGTGACCCAGGACTCGGTGCAGCCAACATATCCAACAACGCAAAATGCTTCAAGTTTCCGATAAATCCATTGGTGGCAGTTTTCGAAAAAGCGAGCGAGTAACCCCAAAAGTACCACTGGAAAGTAATCACAAGTGATGATCCAACACAAGCCCAGATCAAAGACAAAGCAGACTTTCTACGAGCCAATCCAGAATAGAGAAAACCCAGTCCAGGAATCATGACCATTACCATTGCGGCACAAATCAAGATGTAAGCCTGATCTCCGGATTGGTACCATTGGTTCAAGTTTTCCACGGCTGTTTTGAAATAAGGTTTAGTCAGTTGAATGATTCCTGAAACCAGTTGACAGCAGTGGTTGTGAGAGACGAACCAGAATTACCACCAGTCTCAGCGTTTGTTCCATTGAAAACGGCCGGGGCACCGACCCACGAGTACGACATTATTGCTGTGATTTATTGTAGTTGTTGCTTCAGTAGTTGAAGGGAATCGAAATCGAAATCGATGAGTGTTCTCTGCGGTGAACAGTATCTTATTCTAGGAGGATACTGTTGCCTTTATGTGTTGTTGTAGAAAACCACCGAGATCAGAAATTGGTGTCTGATTTAACGACTTCGTTTCTGATGTAAAGTGGGATCAATGGGTAGACTGAACCCGTGTTGTTGTTGGAAGTGATGGAGATCTGAGAGGGTGGGGAGGAAGGGGACGTTAAAAGGCCGTTTCTCGAAGCATGTGAGGCGAGAGCCGGAAGTGAGATCGGGGAGAAGAGGGAACAATTGAGGGGGGGGGGGGGGACGAACAGGTAGGGGGTTATGGCAGGGGAGGCTAGGCAGGCAGAAAGTTCGTAACTCAAGGATGCCAGACATGACATCGTAGATGGAGATTTGGATAGGGATCATTTTCTTGAATGAGGATGATGCATGGTGGACAGACATGCATTGAGTGGACACGCTAAATCATTCACGGCGCATATCAATGTTAGGGTTGTAGATAGGCCTAAGGTACCTATCTACCAGATGGCAGAGGGTAGAGATAAAGATACGAATTGGTGCGGAGCGGGCCAAGTTAGTGTATAGCATATACCCCCATGTGGCTAGAAGTTATACGCTCTCTTACTCTAGACTGTGTTTGTACCCGGTACGAACGGCGGATGAGGAAAATGTACACTCTAGTTAGAGTAGCTAATAAGGATAGGATAGCCAGTACTCTACCGCCCCAAAACGATGATCACTTATCGCGATTTGAATTAGTCCTGAGACTTACTCCTAATTGATATTTAGCCTATAATTATGGCTTCCCTGCTGCTGATTGTTTGCCCATGAGTACTTTACATAAATACATGTATGTACCTACTAACCCAACTTCTCCACAGATTGTTTGATGCCAGTTTCTGTGGGGTGCCTTTGCATGGCAGGGTGTTTGACTGGCTTGGGATTGGTCAGGCCAGGGTGTGCATACTCTACGTGTGTTATGTGTGTTAAGAGGATGGGCTAATTTGATCAACAATATGTGCCTACATATTCATGACATTCGGCCATCACTCAGAGCTTGTAATTCTCTTTCAAATCTCTTGTCGACACTCGCCAACAGCATGCTATTCTCCAGTGGATATACAGCGACATCCTTGTTTGATAGCTGGATAATAACAACAAATTACCTATCAGGCCAGCTCTCTCGATGTGCCTTCAATTTCGACCTTGCTTCTATGCTATTATCTCTCGTTTCGTCCCTTGGCGTGGGGATCCAGTATCCAAGATTGCACTTCAATGCTCTGTATCACCCTCTGTAGTGATACTGGGGGTCACACACTACACTACCTACAGTAGAGTTGAGTACTACTTACGCTTCAACTCACTAGAGGTAGAGACAGACGCCGCCTCGCTGCAGCCTTGTGAACGCTTGCAACGTCAGTGCCAACATCAAAGTCGTATGAATTAAAGCATCTCCAGGTCTTATCTCTGAAACATCCATTTCGCCTAGAAAGCGCAAAAGAACCGATAGTCGCCAAGTCTTTAAAATAAACCACTTGCCCAATTTCAATTGCGGCTGTGGCTTTTGTCTCCATGCTGTTATGGCCAGAGAGATACAGAACAAAGACCTTAATTTGGCTTGTGGCTGACCCCATACAAAACTACATGTACCGTGGAACATCTGGCACCCACATACATACATGTATCTACTGGAGCTCCCACGACATTAAACCCATTAGGTTTGAGTATGTGTGTAGATGATACGTTTTGTGTGTAGTGTAGTGGTAGTTGTTGTAGTGGTGGTGTGCATGCCAATCGGCGTGTGGTTGTGGTTACCGTTTAAGCTTCACTCCCTGTCCGTCCATTCCAGCTTCCCCGTCGCGCGCGGCCGTCCCGACGATTTGCTCCAGCGCCATACCCTAACCAATCCTGGTCTGGCCCCCCGGCACCTTGCATGCAACCACGCAAGATCGAATCGTACCCCTAGGGCGGTGGGGGTCGCCGTCGCGCGCTCACGTTTTTATTTTACACTTTTTTTTCGTGTTCCTTATCTACTCCCAATAACATGGGTATGATACATATGCGGATCTCTTCTCAACCTTCTCACAACCCTACACCTAAAGATTTCCGGTTGAACAACCGACCCTCTCGTCTGGTACTAGGTACTACTACTACAGTATTATTACGGCGCTCTATGGCACTGGGTTGTTTTACCTAGTAAAGCTCGGGGCAAATCTCACTCGGTTGTCAAGGCCAGACGGTGATGTATTTAAAGCGCCGAGCAGAGAAAGAAGAAAAAAAGCGTTGATTTTCGTAAGCAAGCAAGACGTACGTGTGGTTTTCGTCATTCGGTAACTGACGAGCGAGCATCAAGTAAGCAAGAAAGAGGAAAGGTAGATCAGAGGAAGATCTGGAAAATCTTATTTCGGATGATGGTACTGCAACTTCTCCCTTTATCTATCGTGGAAAGAAAAGTAAACAAAAAATCGATTATCGAGATATCAGAATTGATAGTGAAGAAATCTACATAAGCACCTACACAGCCTTGGTTCCTCTACTCCGAATGACTACAATACCAATACCATTTTTCTGATGTTGATAATCGTCCCATCTTTCCGAGGTTCTACAGCTTCGGACATAAGACATTAGTAGAGCACAAGACTCGGCGATTCCGTATTTACACTCACTACAGGTGATTAATTTCTTGGATATCGAATTCTTCCGCTAGATTATTTATTTCCAGCCACTACTCTACTGACATCTGAAGTTTCTCAGCTAGTAGCTACACAGGGAAAAGACGCACAGATCAATTATGATTCAGTACCTTCCCTGCAAGTTGAAACATCTCTCTTTCGCCGTCGTGTGAAGGAGAGGGATTGAGAAAAAAAACATGCGACACAAGCAAGGTTCGAACGACTGGGACGGAAAAATTCTGTACCGGCAATTAAAGAGACCGGTTCAACCCGACCCCAGACGTTCTCGAAACGAAACTTGGTATATTTTAGGTAGGCAGTTTTATACGATAGGGGAAAGGTTCCTAGTTGATTTAGGAATTTGGGGTAGCGCTTACTAAGGTTCAGATAAGGAGTCGTTGTAAAAAGGAAACGTAAACCCTCGAAATCGTCGAGGTAACAGCCAAGTTTCCCAACCACAGCCCACTACATACAGCCGCCTCATCCATTCTCGAACTCCGCCCATGGACCACCTCCACCATGTTACGGTATTGCATACCCCGGATCAAGCGCAGAGGCAAGCAGCAGCACCTACTCTAGAGCTGTAAAAATAGAGTGGGATGGCAAGCAGACAGACAGATCGAGTAGGAAACGATGGGATTTGTAAAGGCGCAAACAAACACGAAACCGAGTGCACGAAACAGAATTGAAGATCAGAGATGCAGCCGTTCCTGCACTGCGCTTCTCCGGCCAGCGATATGTGAGCGATTTGAACCCACGCTCGCCCGTTGGCCAGTGGTCAGGCAAGAAAAACCCCATCGACAGGAAAATTTCAAATTCATCAAACTCTGCTCTATCCTCGTTAGAGCGCCTACTCTAGTAGAGTATGTACCATCCATCCATCGACAGCAGCAAGCACCCCATACTTTTCTTTTCGATACTCTCTACCTTTACTACCTACTCCCAGCTCTTTCTCCACGGAACATACCGGGAAAGCACCTGTTGGGGAAAAGTGAAGAAAATTTTTCGCGATCTCCCCTTGATTCCTGATTGCTATGGGGAAGTGAAAAGGAAAATTTTTATCACCACCGTGCTGTGCTGCAGGCTGTAGATGTTCAAATTTAACAACTCGTGGTCTTTTTTGTCTGTGTGTAGAGGAGGAGTACCTACATGCACTTTGCGCGGTCTTGGAGCTGAAACCAGGAAAATGGTTTTGATTTCGGAAATGTGTATTTTTGGAGCTCGTTTTGGTCTCGTGCCCTGTGGCCCTGGATCTCCCTGATAGACTTGTGGACAGTTGCTATGGCAACCGGCCAGGCCAGGTACGGTACGGTTCGCCTTGAACAAGAATGCTAGTGGAATACCTTGAGCAAGTGGCCACGGTCTAGATTTCACCTGGACACTGCGCCAGTCGGCGAAATTATCATCGACTCTAGTCTCCCCGCTGCTCCCGTTGGACCCGTCCTGCCTGCCCCACACTTCTGGTCCGTCTTCAAAACGCGTAAAGCAGTGCTGGAAAACTTATGGAAAAGGTTTGCTGCTGTCCCGACTTCCCATTGATGCTAACTTACACCTCATACACCGCATGGAACTTCGTTATTGGAAATTACACCATGTATGCGCGTTACAGTGCGTGTTCTCTGTTTGCCCGATCGGTCGGGCCCTAGAAGCTTAAAGCCAGCTGCGGCGGCAGCGTGCAGGAAGGGATATGACAGCAATACCTATGTAGAGCAGGTAGAGTAGGTAGAGTAGAGTAGCCTACCAACTTTTCAAATCATCACCACACCGCGTCCAGCGATGGGAGCTTACATGAGCCTACTCTACTCTACCTATCAACGACAACCCTATTGCTGAACTGGAGTAGTGGAGGAGCGGAGGGCCTGTACCTACATAAGGCCAAATAGCCACTTCTAAGTTCTAACCCGACGCTTGCCCAGGCACAAATGCGTTCAAGTTTAAATCGACCCGATCCCTACCGAAAAGATTTTTTTTTCTATTTGGGCTGCAGGATGCAAATTTTAATGGTGGATTCTGTTTACGGCTACTCTCTAGACAGTTCGCTACCGCCGTACCGTTGTGCGTGGCTTTCGGTAAAGGCGATATTGCCGACGTCGCCGGCGCGGCATTGTACTAGTTATGGAATGGAGGCCGTCGACATAACCATACAATACTCTACCTATTTGTCTCTACTCTAACCACGAGTGCCTACTCTACATACGTGTATGTTGTACATAGTTCTTTTATTTCCCAGCTGAAGGGGCCTAATGAGTTTAACTCATGCGTGTACCTACATATGTACATACGCGCCAAGAATGGGAGGATGACTTCAGACAGCACAGCTTACCTAGAGTACCTACAGGCCCGGATTCCGAACTCCGGATGCCAGGAGATTGAAATGTCAAAGCAAATACATATTTAGAATCCTATGTTGAAGACTGCATAAATGGGCAATAGGGCCAGCTACTGTCAGTGCATAAACCTTCACGTGATCGTGTCTTTGTGGGGTGCTGTGTGGGGTATCCAGACTCCAGAAAGTACCTACATAAGAGTATGTACCTAGATGGACTCGTAGTCAAAACCGAAATTTCTTGTTTCTAATGATTTGATTCTGAGTTGTCTCTCCGGCTTCCCTGTGATCAGGTATCCCTGTGAACAAACTTCTATGTAGTGGGTTAATGCGTTGAAGATCACTGGCAGTGTTTGAGACAAACGTAGGCCCTGAAGGATGATTCGGCCTGAAACAAATGTTTGTTTCTCCAGGGCAGGGCTCGCCGCGCGAGCGATTTGTTTATAAACACCTCGGTCTCATGTATGTAAGCGGTGTGGGATGCGTATTCGCCTACTCAACTGTATTCCAAACTCGATCTCGTTGAAGATCACCTTACCAGCGCTTCTGTGGGGAGGTTTTCTAGTGGCTTGTGAATCCCCCGCTGACGCATACATATGCGGGGGGCAAAACACAAAGAGCATTGCTGACAGCTCTTTGTCTCATGTAAGTAGACAAAAAAGCTTTACGACATATGCATTGTATGTACGGTACTGTAGCTATGGAGGGTAATGGCCAGAGCTCCTCCGTCCTCCGCTGTTAGAGCGTTGGTCTTTAAGTCAGGCTTTTTGTAGCTCTCTGTATAGCTCTCTGTACGACTACTATATCTACTGCTCACTTCCCAAGCAGGCAACAGATACAACTGTATCTTGTAGCTCCAGAGATCATGCACTCATCCGCAACCTAACAAACTACACTTTCTCGCCTCCCGAGTACCAGCAACCAAACAAAAACACATGGCAGAACATACTTACCCCCAGGACCCGTATTCTGGTGGGTGTCGTTGTTGCCATCCAATAACGCCTTCCAGCTGACATGTAGGTACGTTAATTGCCTTTGTCGGGATCAACCGGGTGGGTGCATAGAGTGCTCTCTACCTACGGGTAGGAGGTAGACCATATACATGATGTAGCTAGGTGTAAGGCCTGACGAGATAGAGTGCCTACGTAGGAGAGGTGCCGGTGGGCTTATCGGGGGATTAATAAACGAACGATCGGGCTTGCATAAGTCGGGTCTGTCATCTGGCAGTTTGGTGCTTTTTGCGGGGAGATTAGTATTTATTGATTGCTTTCGAATATCGAATCTATGCACACAACAGCCTAGGTACCCGGAAGTATACCTTTTGATGTGATGCTGGGTATATACTCTAGCTGTCATCTATTAATTGCATAGATCGCGGGCGGCCCTGAATGGGTGAATGGGAGGGTGGTGGAGTAGTAATAGTGACTTTCGAGATTACTGAAACCTGTAAGTCATATATCAGTAGATACCAGGGGGCCAAGAATCAGATAATCCGGGGGCCCCCGCCATAACTTCTTGGTATGTGCTACCAACCTAGAGCAGGAGCTAGAACGTCCTGATTATTGGAGGGCCAATATTTGAGACACTGGGCGAAAATTAAAATACCCCAGCCCATGGCCATAGATAATTTGCGATAAGGAAAAAAAAAAATGTGTAATCTACATATGTATGTAGCCAGCCTGCTCTTGGCAGCATGGCCGCTGGGGGTAGAGAATTCGAAGACCAGAAATGTATGTAGGTGACATGATGAGTGTGTATGTTTACTATCTTTACAAACGACTATTAGAAGTAAAAATCGGTACAGTAAGTACATGTAGGTCTGTAGAGTACATCAGGTCGCCGACGCTGGGTTTGTTGGTTGATTAATTAGTTATCTAGCTTTGTGATCAGCACGCTTGATGTTTGAACGGGACTCGCCAGCTGGAGAGCCCTTGTGCTACTCTAGAGTACATGCCTTGATGGCTGGCTTGCCTTGGCTGCATTAGTATCTGTATTGTTGGGGCGGTGGAGGGTGTTTCGATATTTTTTTACGGGACCCGGGAAGATGTAAGCTGGGCGTGGGGGGAGATTATTCTCATGTAGAATCACTCGTTTTGAGGATGGAGGGTTCATCTCGTCTTTTGCGTGGATCTTGGAGACGAACTTAAGGCGCCCTTAATTTTCCGAGATTTGACGCGGCGTCTACACTACTAGCTAGGTATATAGCTGCTAGTTATTTCAGGAGATATAATATAATGTTCTTACAATTATCATTGACATATAATTCTGGCAGTGACATGTCATGCATCACTTACTCGTACCGTGATAATCTACACCTAGCTTTGCACCGGAATAACTCGGCCGGACTGAGGGATACGTGTGTGATCCTTCAAGTTAGGATTAACCAAGAGCCGTTTCAATTCCGACTCAGCTCCAGAAACAGAGTGGTCAGCTATGATTAAGAAAGCCGTTCGGGTCAAGACAGGGCATTCCCTTGAGGCACATGCCTTGCACCTAGAGGGTCTGAATATCAGGCATATATCCTTCTAGCTCCGTTTCTAGCTGACGCAACGTCCATATCTTCAGACCCGGAATGATTCAAGTGACGCTCACCGGAGGCGTGCACGCGTGTTATATTGGAAAACCTAAGCTTTAGTTAGCTTCATGAGTCACGACTATAGCTATATGACGGAATAGTGTTATTTCAATATAATAGCATTGCCCCTTAAGTATACCCCCTTACATACTCCGTGCTTTGCTTTGCTTCCCAAAGTGCCGACATTACCCTAACTATAATAAAATGCGCCATTTACAGTAGAACGTGCCAAGATGAATAGTACTCTGGAGTAGTTAAGCTATCACAGAGTCCGAAACATCCATCCCCAATTATCACACCACCGTCTTAAGAGCTTCGGCCGGACAAATGGGGGGGCGGGGCCTTTTGAATGGCTGGAGGGGTTAGGGTTAATATCACGAAGAATAGAATAGGGGTGATACGCACGGCCGGAGGTATCTCTGTCTCAGATGTCGATATCGAGATGGTAAGCTTTGTATATAGCTAGTGACCGCAGATAAGAGAGTTTATGTTGCCTATTCGAAGCTATGAGAGAGCTGAGGCTGGGTGTTGTAGTTGTTGCCTTATCGTAGCTAGCCCTGTGCGTATTGTTCCTTTAATTTGGGCTTTTAGGGGGTTTCTGTGAATGTGGACGTTGGTGATGGAAAAGGAATCAAAGATCTATTCAAGCTTTCGAATTTCCATATTTCTATAATGGATCCGGACCACCGGGTAAATATGAAAAAGCAATCTTCATATGAGTACACAATTACAACCCCTTTGTCAGAGAGACGGTATATACGTATCTGTATATATTAGTTTGATCATAGAATCTCACTCACCGGCCGATTCTGAACAATGGTAGGTCCCTAGAGCGAGCCAGGAGCTTGAATTTTATAGCTAGTGCATGCACTATACTTGGTCGTGTGCGCGACCTTGGATCATGTAGTTTCTTGTCCTGGCCTCTACAGCCCACTATACTCGGGCCCGATTCAAAATACCAACTGAGGTGTTGACTGGTTGTAGTCTAACGTGCCCGGTCCTGCGCCACCAATGTGTCGACGAGGTTGATCTGTGTTTCTTTTTGTGTTAGTTTCAGGCTTTGGTTGATCAGATTACTAAGTATCCTGCTCATGCTCAAGTTACGGATATTACATACTACTCATAGCTAGTCGGCTCTCGAAAAGCCTCATAAATTATAGAACGCGGGAATGTCGACTTCACTCTCTTGTATATACTAATGATCAGGTAATGATAATATCATCCCTAACCCTGGTTCGATCTCGACTCAAATCCTATGAACAGTCCCGAGCCAGAAACCATAAAATGCATAAGCCCCGAGTCGGGCTCAAAAAAGCGCACAAGTCCGGAGTCAAACACTGTGACATCGTAGAGCAAAATCATCCCCTAACCCTAGCCTCGAGTCAGAGTTCATGAACAATTTTTTCGCAACCTTATAGCTTCCCGGAAGGAGAGGTATTGTTTATAGCGCCATGAGTTTTGAATTAGGTATCCTGTAACTTTACGTTAATCTCTTGATACATGTAGCCCTTCAAGCCTGGGTATCGTAGTGGTATTGCCCGTTTTTGCATCTCATGTACCTACGTTATACCGCAAAGCTAGAAAATACCCCATTCAGTTGGTCCCCATACCCGTTCTGGTAGTAACTCCAGTGCCTTGACAGCTCTCGGAAAATGGAACTCTCGCCCGGCGGAGCAGTTAGTCTAGCTACTTCACAGTATCTCACTCGTCTATTTGCATGTTATTCTATTTAGACGTAATTAGCAAAGGCCCCATTATTGAGACAGGTATCAACGAGAGTATACACTAAAAAAAGATAGTTATACATACCATTAACCCTCGAATCCTCTCGATAGTCCTCTCGCTCGGGGTTTTTGACAACCTTTATGAAAGATTCAATCAAGATTAAGACATGATTGCTGGTACTGCATCAAGCGGCAGAGTCGGACAGACAGCTAGCCGTGTTCTCATTGATTTCTCAGAGAGAGTTGGGATTTAATGTTTTCCAAATCTCTGGCTGGGGGACGCTCGGACGGCTGAAACTCCCCTTGAATCAAGGCGAGGAAGGTAAAATCTATCGAATCTCGTCGGCCCAGTGTACTATTGTATGTGTCGGACCATCTCAAGGTAAGCTAAACGTAGGCAGGATGTATAGACCACGCGAGTAAACATAAGCTCAGCAGCACTGCGTAGAATGTAGCACCCAGAACGAATCCTGGCCTAGCCATTCACTTGGCATGCAGTCTCCCGATACCCTAGTCCATCGTATGTCAAGAACCATTAAACAAATAACACACCATCTACCATGGTAGCTTAATGGCTATTGTGTCGTCCAGGGGGGCCGAGGTCTACTCGAGCAAGTGATAAAAGTCACTCGTTCGAGTCACCTCCCAGGCTTGGTTGAAAGACTGTGTGACTGGGTAAAAAGGAGCAAGAGCGAGAGCGCTCCTCCTTTTGCTCCTCTGGGATTGTTTTTATTGGCGTGGGATTAGATGTGAAGCTTGATGCAAATGGTTTTATTCTGTGTTTATTGCTTTACATTTGTGTAGACAAGAGTTATCGCGGGGAGGAAGTGCATCGCACTTAGTCATACTCAATCACTCGCCCCCTCCTGTCACTCGGCTGTTGTTAACTAGTTCTATCACTCGGTCTCACAAATCACCCGTTCCAATGTTATTACGATTCAAAACTAACTCTTTTCGTAAAGGCACCGCCGAACACCGGAACGACGCAGGTGGAAAGAACTCGACGCAACAGGCGGGAGAAGTGAGAGCCAAGGATCCGCCCTACAGTCAGCCCCTCCACACAAAGCGCATGCATAGAGGATTCACAACGTATACTTTTGAAAACGACGCGATTAATAGAGGAGGAGAAGACCATTTTGTCTCTGCTCCCACCCGCTTACAGACCCATCCTGATAACAGATATAGTTCCTCAGGAACGATCACTCGGCTTGGGAGCTGCTGACTACTATACTTGCGCTGAGCATCAATTCAGCTCGAAAACGGAGTAAACTTTTTCATGCGAGGTATTGTGGAAGAGTAGGGGAAATTGGTTTTTCCCGAACATGCCTGAAAATTAAACCTAACCCTGTGTTTCTTACACATATAACCCTAACCATATATCTTGGGGAGGATAATATGAAATTGGGAATTTTACGTGTAGAACCCAACGAATGGAATCCCAGAACCACCACGTATTGAATTATCTCTAGTCCTACAGAGATAGACGCTCTAAGATGTCATTTTTAGGTGTCTTTTTCTTTTTCCTTTCTCTTTGATGTGGATGTCCACACTCTTAAAATATCGGTCGGTCCGGGGATTTTTGGTTGAATCTCAAGATCTGTAGAGGTTTGTGTAATAGAATGAACGTTGTATTGTGAAAATACAGATATGAGCCAAAGTTGGGACTTTTCTCAAAAGTAACGGTCACAAGATAGTATTTAGAAGCTTTTTTCACCCATTTTCCTACTTGCTATTGGCCGAAGACTTCTAAGATGTGATATAATTTCGATAGCCACGATTACGGATCGAAAGATAACAGAAAATCATAGTTATTGATTAAGTAGCTAGGTGAAAATCTCAAGAGCCCAAGTAAAAGATCCAGAAATCCCATCCCAAACCATCCCCATCCAACCTAAGAAAATGCATTTAATACAGAAGCTGAAGCAATAAAATCAACGCGATTTTTTTTTTTTACTTTTCGTTTTTGTTGCAGTAAATGGTGAAAGAAAAAAAAAGAAAAAAAAAGAAATGTACAGGGTATATAAACCGCCTTTACACACAGAGCAAAATTAAGCAAAAAATAAAATAAACTGAAATGAATACGCAGAAAGCAAAGGGTAACTATGTGTAATATGAAATACAGAAGCAAAATAAAACAAAAAAATAACCAAAAGACAAATTATAGCTTACAATACGCCCCATATTTACCATCTAAACCCTTGCCTCGTCTACCAAGTCTCATCAAAATCATCAATCTTCAATGTTCGGGAATGGGTACCCTCTCGACGCCGCCGCATCCTCTTGAACAAGCCGTATAGTCTGCTCCGGTATCACAGGCAAGATGCTCTGCGCCGCAACCTTCACCTTCTCAGGTGTCGTCTTCGGTGTCTCCATAGGGCTAGAGTCTGTAATTGGTGTTAATCTCGATACACCTCCATGATGCTGTTCCCTCCAAACGGAGCTAACTGATTTATTGGAGGCGCGAGATTCTGACCTGAGTTGGGGCCTATTCACGAGTACCTGCATTGGCAGAACAGTAGTCTCAGTTTCGTAGTTCTCCCCATACTCGTTGCCACGACGAATGACCTGTGGGAACAGGATCAATTTGACTGTTGCGCCCTCCTCCTCGAGTTCTCGAGCTGAGATCGGCTCTGCCCCGCGGTTCTGCATGCTAGAGGCTACGAAGGGTACCGTGTTGGTTACCTCTCCTTGATCATCGTAATCGGGTCGAGGTGGGCGCTTCATGACGTATTCGGCACGCTGAGTTCGCATTTCGACGGCTAGTTGAACAGAATGTTGTACAAGACTACGAAGCGACTCCATGGCTAGGCTGCGGTACTGAGGTGGAGGTGGAAGAAGGAAGTTCAACAGGTTGAATATTGTTTGAACAATCTCTTCTGTATCTGCGTTGCGCTTGGCTACGATAGCTGGTCTGGTTGAGAGGAGAGTCAAAGTCGTGGACCGCCATTGGTGAACAGCTTCATGTAATCCTACATTAGGTTTGGTTAGTGGTTTCTCATTTGGGCAATAGTGTTACTATACGTACCAACTTCGGCCAAGGTCGTTTCTAAGGAGATTAGCTTTTTTCGTTCATCAACCTCCAATCCAAAGAGGTATCTCGTGAACACATGCTCCCATATCATCCTGATGGTGATCGCCATGAACACGTCAGACCTCTTGTTCTCATCTTTAAGCATTCTTCGAACCCCTCTATCGTCAAGCATAACATGCTCCACTCGGTCCCTGACAGCCTCATCTTTTAGTCTGTGAACATGGACACACTTCTTTCCAATTGAAAAGCTTGAAAACTGGTTACACCAGATCTTGAGCGAGCTATAGAGTTGCTGGCACGAGCTAGAGAAATGATGCAGGTCCTTGGTATCAAGATACTTATTGTCTTGTCTTGTTGTGACCTGTTGCTGCAATTTACGCACTTCCTCTCTAGCCTTGGTCAACTCGTCTCGTAACCTTTCGAGCTCGGAATCTTTCTCTTTCAATTGGTTACGAATCACGTTCTCCATGGTTGCCTGTACCTCGGCGAAGCTGGCTTGGAGTTCGGTGTGCTCTTTCGATAAGGTAGCGAGCTGTTCTCGCTTACGTTCGTACTTGCCAGCTAGAGCTCCATAGCTAAACTTGTAGGACGTTGATAGGCTTGTGTTTGTCTTGTTGAGGCTGCTGTTAGCCTGACTAAGTCTCTGAACCTCCGTATGGTAATAGTCCAGTTTCTTCCTCAACTCTGTTATCTCGCTATCTTTTTCTGTGAGGAGTGCCTTCCCTTCTTCGATTTCTTTGGTGAAGATCGCTGTATCTTTCCTATAGCGTTGAATTGATTCAGAGAGTGTTTTCTCGACATTGGCCTTTTCTTGAATTAAGCTAGTGTTCTCCGCGGCAAGGCCTTCAAGGCGATTCTCCAAGTCAACGATTTGCAAACTCTGTCTCCTTCTTATGCTTGGTGGCCGGGTTGGCGATTTTGGTTCGCTAGCTTTGTCCCCCCATGATTCCTAAAAGCTATGAGTTTTGGATTCAAGACGCGACGGTTGATAAAAGGCAACTTACATATAAATCGGCTTTCTGCAGTACTTTTCCTTGCTGATGTTGATAATCATCTCCCCCGAAAATGATGTGTTCAGTGCTCGCATTCGGACTGTCGAGCTGACTGCCCGCGCGTCTTAAGGACGGAGTGACAGTTCGTCTCCGCTCGCCTCTTTTTAATACATCCATTTTTTCGGTGGGAACTCTTGTTATTTGAGCTGGAGTTGAAGATAGTGTGAGTGGAGTTAATCTCTTGGCCCGTTGTAGCGGCCGATGTGTTGGGAGACGTGATAGTAAGTCGTCAGTAGAAATGAAGTCACGCTCTTTTGCTGTTTTCGACCTGGGCAAGCTTGGCCTCACAAATTCTTCAGTAGAAGTGAAGTCACGCTCTTTTGCTGTGTTCGACCTGGGCAGGCTTGGCCTCACAAATTCTTCAGGTTTCTGTTCGATGATGGTAGAGAGACCCTGTTTTGTGGGGTGGGAAAGTTTAACGGGAGATCCAAAGTTGTCTCTTATTTCTCCTTCCGCAAGTGGTCTCCCTGAATATGTGAGGGGCTGATCGAGAGTTCTTTGCGAGAGCTGGAACGATTGTAGGTTATTATTTTGAGTATCTTCCTTGGTTAAGAAAGGATCTGATATGCTTCGTTCTCTTGCTGGCCCACCAAAAACACTTTCGTAGGGTTTATTTGGAATATTCCTTTTTGGGATTTCTAATTTTTCAGTTTCCGGGGCAACCTTTCCAGAGTCTTGGATTTCCTCAGGAAGAGTCGGTTCGCGAATCAGATCAGGGTATGAAGGTGAGGGCGCACGGCCGTCTTTAGTAATTACTGTTCGAAGCGAGTCGCACGAGTCTTGACTCTGAAGGCTTACAGTCTGAGATAAGCGCCGTTCTTGATTTGAGGTAAGCGAAGCTGGCGCCTGAAGATCGATCTCTGCCTGTGCTTTGTTTTTGTCGGACCCCTGTCTGACGGATACCTGGTACGACTGATCTACTTCAACTACATGTGATATTCCAGCGTTAGAGATGTAAAACAATAGGGGGTTGTTAGCGCGAAGAGGGATTACCCGTGACTTTATCCTTGATATTTTGATTCTCTACTCTTAGTTCAAGAGATGCCTGAGGTGGCGTGGCTTTGGCAGTATTAACCGAGATTTCGGTTGTGTTCTCGGAGCTAGAAGAGTGACCCTTTGCTTTTGTGTTTAGGGGCTCTGAGTTCTGTTCAACCAGAGAACGGGGTCGGACAGATGACGATCTTCGTGCTACATGACATGCAATGGATTAGTAATTAAAGTCATGCAGGGGGGGGGGGGGATTGGGCTAGCCATTACATTTTGGGAGAATAGAAATTGGTAGAGAAACTCCAGATTCGGCGTATGGGCTGAGTTGAGGTGTCGGTATTGAGTCTGCGGTGCTAAGGAGAGATCGGCGCTTCCAGAATTCAATTGCCGATTCAAAAGAAGATGAGTGAGTGAGAGGTGGCGGAGGTGTCAATGAGGCTTCAGACGGTGGAATGCGGGTATCCTCGTCCAAACACGACCGACTTCCAGTTTCTGATGGTGGGGATCTAGAGGATTCTTGAAGTATTCGAGGGAGATTTTCTAGAACAGGAGATGATGCAGATGGTGTTTCTTCTATAGACTGTGGTTGGAGAGATACACCTTCGGGGGTGGAAGATGATTTGGTGGAAGATGATTCGGTGGAATTTGTGCGAGTGAGAATGGGTGCTTGCTCGGGTGATAGTATTTGTTGAGGAGTTGTAGATGAGCTTTTGGTTTGGTCTCCAGACAGGAGTTCGACGGTCGTATAATTTTCGATGGGTAAGCCAAAAGTTGAAGATTGATTGGGGAATGCTGTTGTGGGGTTTGGATTATTGGTACTAGTTTGAGATAGAAGATCCTCGGCGTCCACAGTATGATACGTGCTTGTGTTTTCTTGTTCAGATACTGATTCGGCTTCCTTGGAATAGACAGAAAATTGAGGGGGTATATTAATTGCAGGTATTTCATTATTATTATTATCGGATTGAGCGGTTTCGTTTTCTAGTGCGGTAATGACGGTCTTCTCGACTCATTAGCAACGTGTCGGTAAGTTATAGAACAGATATTAAACTCACTGTATCATGGGAGCCATGATCTCCTCCAAGCTCAATCCCTATTCCGGATAACTGTTAGCTTTTGAATTGCCGAGCAATCCAAGAAAGTGAGTTCCAACCCTCTTCTCCCTCTTTCCCGCCTTTGCCCTTATCAACTTCTTCCGCTCGTGGCTCTGCCTCAATTGACGGTGACGGCGCCAATTCAAGTTTCCTGTTTTCCTCGACCCCTGGAGTGACCCCATCGATGTCGTTGTCAGGAGATGGGAATCTCTGACTTGGGGCATTGTTTGCCCTAAGGAAACCTTGAGCTTTGGAGCTGGAGGTGAACATAGGACTACGTAGTCCAACTTGAGCGACTGGGATCCCTTGGAGTTCGCCATCACCAAAAGATGATAAACTTGGGTCTTCGTCCTCTGGGTCACCGTATATAATAGCACCAGGAGTGCCAAGGTTACGTGCGCCAGTCGAAATTGAAGATGGGTCCGGAGACGTAAAATCTTGGGGTCCTGATAGCGAGACACCGCCGGTAAATTGACTTTCTGAAGACTCCTGTCGCAATATTTGTGGAAGGCCTGGGTCTCGGGGAATATTAGACGGTAGGCGCAAGTGAGCGACGTCTACCTTGGGCGAGCGGCGTCCAGGAAACGGAAGAATGTCGGGTCCATTTGGCGAGTCTATCGAGTTAATGACAATTTGAGGGGCCCGAGGAGTACTTGGACGAGAATCGGGTTGCTTCTTAGAGAACTCAAGTAAATCCCCAGCATTTAGCGCAGGCGTTACCAGGGATGGTGAAGCAGGCGTAAGTTGATGGGCAGTGGTGAGTGGTGGAGGAGTTATAGTACTAGATACAGATCCTAGCCTCCCCTTTACCTCCTCTTCTGGCACATCTGCTAGTGTCTTTGGTTCAACCATTGGGGCCGAGAAGTCAAGTGCGGCTGGAAACTGGCTGATCATAGGCTCTTCAACGGGTTTTGTTGCCTCCTGAATGCTTATCGACGACTCCAGATGGGTTGCAGGAAAATCCACAGTTTCGTTCTCATATTGATTTGACCTTTCTAATTCCGTTGTACTAATGGATGATGTTGATTTTGACTTATCTGCTATTGGGTTCTCGCGGTGATCATTTGGGAATCGATCCCGGATATCCTGACTGTCTGCCCCTGATAATTTATCCTCCCTAGAAATAAAGTTAGTGATGTTGTAAATGGATGAGTTGTAAATCCATCCTTACTGCTTCAATCCCTCGCTCATGCTTTCAGTTATCCGTTCATTCTCTCCTTGTTCAACATTTTCAACTACCTTGCTCCCTGCATTCTTATTCGGGCTCACCACTGGCGTTGCTGGCTGAGTTTTAGTAACGGGAGATCCATTTCCTGTCGAAAGTGTTCTCAGGATGGGGACCCCAGACGGAAACTCCCCAACACTTGGAGTCGTTGACATTTCAGCGTTGGCCACAGAAGATCCAGAAATATCAACTCCCTGAAGCGACTTCCTCTTCTTTTCCCTCTGTCTCGCCTTCTTCGACCTTCTCTTATTAACTTCTGATAGTGTAGGCGTCATTGGTACCGACGTCACGGAGAGACTGGCTTCCATCGGTGTTGATTCATGTCCCGTCGCCTGGTTTTCCTCGACGGATTCGGGCTGTTGAATGGCATTTTCCTGAGGCGATACGATGTCTTCCCTGGTCTGAGTGTTTGGCGCAGCCTCTTCGACAGAAGCACTTGGAACATCAGGGGATTTTGGTTTTGCAGCTACAGGAGTAGGGATATACTCTACCAGCCCCTCAGGAATTTGATATGACTCAAGACCCTTTGGAGTTGGTGACGGCACTTGGGGCTCGTTCTTCTTGTTTTGTTCATTTTTCAATGACATATAATCTTCGGCATCTTCCTCGAAAAATTGGTTCTCCCGAGCTTTCTTTTCGTTGGGTGAGAGAGGTTCAAATTGTTGGATATCTGTTTCATGAATCAAGGCCGAGGCAATAACAGGTCTTTGGGAAGTCTCGATAGATGATTTTTCTTCGTTTAAGCCATGTACCAAGCTTTCTTGAAGTTGACTCCTCTCTTCATTATCATTGCGGATCTTTTCGACGTCAGTGACAGGAGAAGCAGGCCTGCTTAACTCACGCGGCTGAAACTCCGCCATTTGTGCTGATTCTACCAATCCGTGGGTCGATTCTTGAAAATCAGATGGCTTGACAAACACTTCTGCCTCAAGCAAAGGCAGCTTCATAATGTCCTCGCTCTCGAGGTGGATATCTGACTGTCCAATACCTGCAATGCTTTCACTATGTTCGGCCCCAAAATCGGGAGTAGAGAACGGTAAAGTCTCTTTGACAGGAACTTTCTCATCCTCGACAGGAGTATGGACCTCCTCTGAAGTATCGGCTATGGACGATTAGTAGGAATATCGAGGAACTATGCGGGTTTAGTCATACCTTTTTCCTCAATCTTGATCTCTTGCGGCAGTGTTGTTAATTCCGCGGCAATTTCTGGGACATCCAGGTTTGGTTCGACAATAGCGGCGTCTGTAGCTTCAAGCTCCCCGATCTTGGGAGAGTAGAGCTCAGCGGTATCCACTGGCTCCTGGAATAGAGGTAATGCCGAAAAATCCACGAATGATTCTGATTGTTCCAAAGACTGTTTACTCAGATCGTCCATTTTACTTCCCTCAGTTGCCTCATCATGGGGGCGTCCTTCTTGTGTTTCAGGGTGTTCAGAGACGTCCTTGAATTCTTCATACTCTGTATGTTCAACCATGTCACCATGCTCTATTTTGGGTTCCTCCATATCCAACTGTCCGGTGGTATTATCTGGGGCAGTGCTTTTTGACGACGAAAGATCATACATATCAACGAACCCCTCGAGGCCAGGAGACGCTGGTTGGGGTTGATTCCTTTCTTGGTGATCTGCTGCTCTTTCATCCTCAACTGGATCCTCTTCATTTCTTGCGAGCATCTCGACCCCCTCGGCCTCCTGCGTGACCTGGCTCTCTTCAAGCTGAACATAGTTATCGGTTTCTGGCTCAGGGCTAACAATCTCCTCGAATATCTTCTCGGCCTCCTCCACGGTTAACTCGGGTTCTGCAAGGTGTGCAGGGTGTTCAAATTGGCTACCGGACTGTTCTTCCTGGACCGGAGGTTCTGTAGTAAATTCGCGTTCAGCTAGAGCATTTCCCTCATCATCCTTGTGGGCATGCTTCTCTGTTCGTTCTTCCCCCTCCTCTTGCCCCTCTTTTTCCAATAAAGGTTCCTCGAAGATTGATTCTTGCTCAGCGACCATTGGCATTTCCAGGGTGGCTTCTCCTTGTTCTTTCCTATCCTCTAAGTCAGAGACATCTTTTGGAGACTCTACACTACTGTCAATCGTATGTTCGATTTGAACATTATCTTTCGACGGAGTAGATTCCACAATTAAGGAGATGTAGTCAAACATATCGAGCGACTGCTCGTCAATGGAAGCGGGTTGGTCAACTGCGGGAGACTGCTCAACGGGAGATTGTTCGATGATAGGAAACTGCTCAAGATAAGGAGATTGTTGGGTAGATTGTACGACGGGAGAAATTGTGTATTCATCAGTGATTGGGTCCTCGTGATTTTTCTGAGTAGCGTCCTCCTCCTCCTTTTGAATCGACAGGAATTCCTGTTCAGTTTCAGATAGCATTTCAAGTTTGACGCCTTCTTCCCAGGCATCACTTTCATCGTCCTCAACCTCTGCCGAGAGAGTTTTGGGTTCTTGTGTGTCAGCCTTTTCTAAGCTATCTCTGGTAAGGTCGATTCCGGTTTCGAATGTGATAGGTTCAGCCTCCGGCTGAACGAGGTCCTCCATGGTTTCTATATCAATTTTTTCCCTCTCTCCATCATAGCCCTCATTTTTAATTTTCTCCTCCAACTCTCTCACCTTTCCCTCCTCTTTCTCCCCTTTCTCCTCTTCCACCTCCCTCGCCTCTTCTACTTCCTTTACCTTCTTCACCTCTTCCACCCCCTCTATCTCCTTAAACTCTTCCACCTCCTTAACCTCTTCCACCTCCTTAACCCCTTCCGCCTCCTTCACCTCTTCCGCCTCTTCTACCTCCTTAACCTCTTCCACCTCCTTAGCCTCTTCCACCTTAACCTCTTCCACCTCCTTAACCTCTTCCACCTCTTCCACCTCTTCCTTCTCTTCCCCCTCCTGATAATCTATTTTTGTGTCGTTTTCTACCCTCGGTTCTGGAATTTCGGGGGTTTTGCTAAACTCAAACTGTGTATTTGGTGTAATTGACTACATTTGGGAGACTTGTCAGTAAAAGATAAAATGAAATTAATACAGCCAACTTACTTGAATCTCCAATGGAGGAGGCGTATTATATCTTTGTTGATGGATAGACTGTTCTTCAATTTGTTGCGCAAAAATTGGCTCGAATGCATCCTGAGTGATAAATTCGGTAGAATCCTGGGTCTCATGAATCTCTTCAGACTCCATTGGTATCGAGGGCAAGATATCCACGGTATCTTCGGGTGGTGCCACATTTATTTCTGGGACAGGGCTTTCATTATCGTTCATAGGAAGTGGCGAGATTTGAGCGCCCTCAACGGAGAAACGGCGAATTATTGATTCGAACTCAGGCTCTTCCTGAAGCTCGTAGTCTGGCTGGTTGCCGTGGATCCGGGTCTCAGATTCTATCCCCACGACTTCGGCTGTTGTAGCAGGCTCGGCTGTTGAAGACGATGGAGGAATTGAATCTTCATTGGGTAGCTCGAAAAACTCCGGCTCCATATATCCTCCGATATTTTCTACAACCGGCGAGGCCGGTTTAGCGTCGAAATCTAGTCCGCTCATAGATTCCTGCTCAGATTCAACTTTAAGGGTATAATCTGAAAACACATTCTCTTCTGACGGATTTTCTGCAACTGTCTCCTGGCGTTGTTCCGGCGTTTCGGTCGTTGTGGGCTCCTGCTCTAAGGTTGAAGTGCTATCCTCTTTTGACAAGTCTTCTGACTCTGAGTTTGAACCTCCTTCTAAGATTTCAGTCATTCTGGGCTCGGATACTGAGGTTGAGAAGTCCTCAAAATTCGGCAGACTCTCTAGATACGGCTCCTCTTCGGTTTCCAAGATCGGAGAAAGGTCGAAAGCACCCATTGACTGGCGACGGGATTCATTCTCAGTTTCGAAGGTGTATTCTGGCAGTATGGGCTCTGGCGAAGAATCAGGCGTTTCTGTTACCTCTGTTACCCCAATAACCTCTGGCCCTTGAACTGTTGCAGGCTCCTCGATTACTTCAAAGTTGAGGACCGTCTCAGGTTCTTCTGGCATTAGGATTGGAGAATCCTCGGGCAATGGTACGTTTTCTGGCTCTGCAAGGACACTAGTAGGCTCCGGGGTTTGGAGTGGGGCCTCGACGAATGATGAATAGTGATTAGAATGCTCAGGCTCGATATCGGAGGGCAGTGTGTATTCCAAGGTTTGTTCTTCAAGCGGTTGCTCGATATTGGATTCTTGCACATCCACAATAGGTTCGACAGGTGCATCAGTTAGGTGATCCCAGGTTTCTTCGTCTTCGGGCAAAGGAATATCGGCTGGTTCTGGGAATATGTCCTCGTTTGTGAGCGGAAGATCCTCCACAGAGAGCTTTCTGTTATCGGCCTGAACCTCTAGTTCGTGGTAGGTTGTCTCTTCGTTCACCAGCTCATTTTCTTGACTCTTAGGCTTTAGGTCGTTCTCGGTGGGCACAAAATCAGGCTCCCGTGCCATGAAGAAATTCTCGGAATCGCGTCCATTTTCGGATTCAAGTTCAGTAGTGGTCAATTCATTCTGAACTGTATGCTCAGCAGGCTGTGCACTATGAGCCTCGGACTGCTCCTCATATTCCGTGGGTGGTAGCTGGGCTTCGGACTGGTGATCACCAAGCAATGGCCCTAGGGTAGGTGATTGTGGTTCTTGTCGGTGGTCTTCCGGAATCATTTCTGCGATTGTTGGCAACAGAGCCCCTGCCGAAGTAGTATCCTCATAGTCTCTAGATTCGAAAGAATCTTCATATTGTGATTGTGAGCGGTCAATGGGAGCTGCTCGCGAAACCTCCGGTGATGCTGAACGGCTGAAAGACATAGATGCGAGAGATCGGGAGTCATCACCCGCCATGGCGGAGGCTGCCCTACTGATCGCTGATACCGAAGATTCTTCAAAGATAGGGGACAATGATGTATACTCCCTGTCTGGAATTTCATAGAGCTCATTTGGAAGATCGTATAATGTACCATGCTCAGGTTCATACATCTGTTCGGTGCTGTCTGGAATAGTAGCTAACACCGGTGATGCAGGCTGGCTTGTGTAGAACTCATCTTCAGCCACGATTGAGGGTGAGGCACTATTTATTGATCTAACGGATTCTTCAAAAGTTGGATATGTTGATGTTGGCAGCTCAGAAAGATCGGCTGTATTGGTGGATGCAAAGTCTGTGGACTGTAAATCATTGGAAAGGTCAGGAAGTTGCGGAGATGAAGGTCTCGAAGTGAATGGAAGGTTTTCAATAGTTGGTTCCTGAATAATCACTTTAGTTACTTGATATGGTGGTAGGAATTGCGGGTGAGGCTGGATCTTACATTTCTTTCAATTTCTGAGTGGCTTGGAGAGCCGGGTTGGCTAGGAGAACTTGTATCGAGACCGGCCCCGGAGGTCACGGGGGCCACCGCAATTGGAGACACATCTTGACTTAGGAAATGTGCAATGAAAGTTTCCCCAAGATCCACAGAGACCGGATCATTTTCAGATGGCGATCCAGCTGAAACCCAGTCAAGGGAAGCTGATGAGGAGCTGCTGGGCGGCAACTGTGGTAAGTCATTTACATCGGGGAACTGGAATTCCGTCTGTAGCGGCGGTAACTGCGATTGAGCAACCTTGTTTCCAACCTGAGATGTGTGCATGTGTGGCTCATTTTCTGGCATACAGTGACTGTTTTCAGGAACTAGATCTGGAAGATGCAGAGAAGATCGGTTACTGTTTATTTCTGACTGCTCCTGTACATTGTATCGAGCCTCTGGTTCGCTAGGAGTAGGCGCGGATAAATTATTTCCTATATCATATTCATATGCTGAGAGAAGGTCTTCGGTTGACTGTCCGAACTCCTCAATAGGTGAGTCGGGAAGAGCCGGGAGGTTCTCGGGCATATCGAATATAGGGTCTACTGGTCGCTGTTCTTCCTCAGTTTGGGCTGTCTCACCGCTCAATACTTGCTCAAGGTCAGGGAATTCATGAAGTCCGGAGGCCGAAAGTTGACGGTTTCCCGCGGCCTCTGATGAAAGATTTGGAGATGGCGAGCTACTTGTGATTGGATTACCATCTTCGCTATATTCGGTGACTGTTTCAATTGGCAATGGGGCACGATCATCCACGGCAGGTATTGTATCTTCAAGATGATCGTGGTGGAGGGGTTTTGGTTCACCCGAGAAGATTGAACTAATCGGTGGGAGTTCAATGCTGCGATCACCTTGATCTTCAGATGTAAGAGAATTGTCTTCAATCGGTGCCGGGTAGGGCTCGGGGATGAAATTAGGTACGGTTGGTGGCTCGGAGTTTTGGATTAGGGGTATCGATTCTTCGGTTTGCGGTAGGGTGGGATGTTCTTCAAAGGTTTCTGGAATATTGTTTTCTGATGAATCACCCAAAGTTGTTGGAAGTTGTTGGGTCTCGGTGATTGGAATTGAGATATCTTTGGGGGAAATAGAACGCTCCTCTGAGAAGACATTAGGAAGCTGTGCCCATGAAGGACTACTTGCGGCGTTTTCTGAGAAATTATGAAATGCTGATTGAAAGAAATTCATGAAAGGGGATTGTGTCGGGCTCTCAAGCTGGGGTTGAAAATTTCCGGCAGCTGGGGTTTGAACATATGAAGAAAGCCCGCTAAATGGAAGGGCAGGGATCTCCTCATCGTGTACTGGGAGTTGTTCTGAATCTATATTTTGATTTATGGGAGAAAAATTGTAAGGAGACGATGGATTGCTCTGAGGTAAAGCCGGGTATTCTTCATAAATATCAACCGCGGCAGACTTTGAAATGGGAGATGGAGTACGAGAAGAAAATGAAAAAGTATCAGGAATGCGTGATTGTTGGATTGGGCTGTACAGAGGGGAATTAGGTGATGATTCTATCGGTAGGGTTTCATTAGAGGGCGGGGAGTCTCGATCGTCGAAGATATCAGGGGGTTCGGAGAACGATTGCGTATTTTCATGCTGTCCCCTAAAGTCGCTACTTAGATCAACTCCCTCGGAACGAGTTAGCATCTCAGCAGAAGTAGACTTTTCGACATAGTTGTAAGACTTAGCTACCGGTTCCCCGTCGTGATTATGGGCATGGGAATTGGCAGTTTCTTTCACCTTTCTCTCTATACTGGTGCTCTTCCTTGGAAGACGAATGTTGGAATCTGACTCTCTCCCGTCATCCGTTGATTCGGCGGCCTGGCTCTGCCCTACGCTCCCTGCTTGTTGTGATTCAGATAGACTCCTCAACGACTTTGTCGACTTTCTTCTCAATGACCCTGATCTCGCATTTGTCAAAGGAGCACGTGAGTCCTCAGCCACTGAACTTGACGAAGGAGCATCTCCCGCTACCCTCTGACCCTCTTCGCCCCCTTGTGAGCTGTGAGTAAAACCGCCCTGGTGTATACTCGCTCCCCCAGAGGATGATGATGGGCGGTAACTTTTGCTATCAGTATCAGCTCTAGTCAATTCTGCTGGCCTCTCTCCCTGCGTGGGAATACGAGGTGTTGTGGTTGATCTCTTCAATTGGCGGGCGGCCCTAAATACCCCAGATAGACCCTTCATCTCGCTCAATCTGCGTTCTGACTTTGGCCGTTCAGGAATTTCTGCGGGTTCTACAGGAGATGCCTCGTGGTGAAGAGATTTAGTCTCCGCGTGTTGTGTAGCCTTAGCCATGTTGGCTTCAATGTGCTGTGTAAGGCTTGCTGAGTCGATGATAGGGGGTTCTGGTTCGTCGCGGTTAGGTGTGGGCGCAAAGCTTTCGTCTTCAACTATTTCAAAACTCGAAGTCATATCCACGTCTCTTAGAGAGGATGTTCTTGATTTTTGTGGTGGAGTAAATTGCTCCGATTCTTCGGTATTGTGCCTTGGGTTATCGGGCCTGTCTTTTGGTCCACTGGCTTCAGAACCCGATCTTTTATGCATTGGCCTTACCGATTCTCCACGCGTTTGAGATGCCTCCCTACTCCTTGACGAACTCTTTTCACGTTTGGACCTACTTGTCCATCCAAACATCTTCCCCACGTTCCTCATCTTAGACTTCGCCCTGCGCAAAGACTCCGTCTCCGCCTTAGAACTAACTTCCTCTTCATCAATCTCTGTGCCCTCAGCAGGTTTGAAGCTCTCTTGGTTGCGGTATGCACTGTCGATTGACCGTCGTGAATGTCTCTCAGAATGTGGCTCATTCTCATGTGATTGTGACTCGTGTGTTGTTATCACGCTTTCCGTAGACCGCCGTGGAAGATTTTGAGGGTCTTCAGCTGCGTCCCGGTCTGACGGTACTTGATCGGTGGACCGCCTAGGAAGTGTTTGCCTTTCTGTCGAGGGTTTTTCTGTTGCTCGCCCTTGCAAGCGTGGCCCGCTAGACCTTTCCCTTCTACCGCGGCTACTTTCAGATTCTGTCATTTCCCTTTCCTGCCTTTCTCTTCTCATCTGTGCCTCTTCTTCCTCACTCTTTAGTACCCTTCCTCTCCTTGTGCCATCGTCCGTATCAAGTCCTACACCACTGTCAGCTAAGCTAGGAGTATCCTTGTCCTTCTTCCGTCTGAAGAACCCCGAGAGCGAGGATGATCTGGATGTTGAAGGTCGTTTGGGCTCCTCCTCTTCACGAGTTGAACTGAGACTTCCAGAGAGAGAAGAAGATCTAGCTGCAGGACCGCTCCTTGTAACGGCGTGGGCACGGTTTTTCCTCTCCTGTATAACTTCCGGCGGCGGCGCTGGGTGTGCTTGCGGGATTTCTGGGGGGTTGGCTGGCGCGTCAATTGGTTGCGGCGGAGGAACGGGTTCTTGCCTCGGCCCTAAACCTTCGGGTGTGGATGAATAGGTGGGGTTGGGTACAGTTGGCGGCACCGAGGGCTCATCTTGACGCACCGAACGCGAACCGCTGGCTAACTGCTGTTCTGATCGAGATCTAGCCTCCTCGCGAGCTAGGATTTCTGCCTGAGATAGATAGGCCTCTGCGGAAAATTCATGCTGGCCAAGCTGTCTCTTCGCCTTTGCACTGTCCTCATCCTCAACTTCTTCGATAAAGGCACTGCGAGGCCTAGCAATAATGCTTGGTCTACGGCCCGTGGTAGTGACAGGTGTTGTTTCTCCAGCCTCGATAACAGTGCTAAGCCTGTGGGGCTGAATATTACCAAGGATCAAGCCAGGATCGAAGCCAACTGATTCGGCGGAGGCAATTGCAATGGCCATCAATTCGTTATCTTTATCCTTCTCCTCCCGTGTCAAACGCTTACCGTCATCTGAAACGATTCTACCCGTGCCAATTGCTGCTGTTGGAGTGGTTGATGCCTCGTTATCCTCAAATGCAAAGACATTGGGCGGGGATGGTTGCTGCCTGTAGTTTGGTGCGCCTTGGACGGGAGAACTTTGGTTTGTGTAGCCGGTTGGGGGTGTTTGGAATTGATCCCTCGAAATCGTGGAGGTTGATGTAGCGTTGGAGTCCGCAGAGTATAGAGTGGAAGCAGTCTCGGAGTAGGCGCGTTTACCACTCTCGAGCGTAGGAAGATTAACGTGTGCTAGGGAGCAGGTTAGTAAAATCTTACCTCAGATTTAGACCCAAACCGAAATCAGGCACCTACCAGCTGAAATCTGATCCTCTCGTGAACTTTCCTTTAAGTCAACCTCTCTTGACAAGCTTGATGCTATTCTAGATGTAGATTCACTGGAGTAAATATTTTTTGATGACTCGGACAAGGACCGACTCTCACTAGCAAGGGCAGGGCGATAAGGAGTCGCTACAGTACCATCAGTTCATCATCGAACACATTGAAATCTAGGAGCGCCTACCAGCAGGTGAATTACTCTCGTGTGTCACATTCCCTATGTCAACTCTTGTATCCTGTGCAATGCTAGATGTGGATTTAGATGCCGATTCCGAGGAGTAAACATCCTTGGAGTATTCAGAAACAGAACGATTTTCCCCTAAAATAGCGGGGCGGTTGGTAGACGCTGTATTACAATCAGATGATGTTTTTTTTTTCTTTGCGAGTGAGATTTCATGAAAAACATACCGGGCAGGGTTTGGTTATCTTGCGTTATTTGCCTCCTATCAGATTCCACCTCTCGAGAGAAAGATGATGATTCTTCACGAGATGCAGCTTCTGAGTGACTTCGGATAACAGACTCGGAAACAGAACGACCCTCATTTGCCAAAGTATGGCGATAGATAGGGTCTACACGAGACGTTAACAATGATCCCGTTTATCAAACAAAGGGGAGGATACATACTAGATGAAGTTTTCTCACTGCGTGGAATCTGTGGCAATACTACATCAGGGGCGACCTCCTCGTCGTCGAATGCACCAGGAAAGCGGAATTCCCCGGTTGAATCATGAACATTCTCTTGGGATGTTTGGGCCTTTGAGATGACTTGTGAGGATTCCTGACGACTGTGATCTGATTCCGAGCGCTGGTAACTGGCTCCAGATCGAAGTTCGGATGAGCCCTGTGTCCCCTGGGACCAAGCTGGAGGCAAGACTGGGCCGTATTCGACATCTGAAGACTCCTTGGAGCGGATGTAGTCAGAAGACATTTGTTCGTAGATTGACTGAGCTGTTGAGCTCTGGGATGACTGGTTTTCCGTGATGAGATTTGGAGGCAATTTCGGACCATACTCCACTTCGGAGAACTTGGGCTTAGTAGTCTGTTGGACACTGTGATCTGAAAAGGCTTGTTGGTAGCTTAGTTGAGAAGATTGACTCCCCGACTCTGTTCTTTGGAGCACGGCACTAGAAGATTCAGTGGTCAAGTACGGCGGGAGCTCGGGACCATAAGGCATATAGGCAGTTCTGGCAGGCGTTCCGAAGGAGAAGTTGGGTGGAAGTTGGCATCCTTGATAAACTAGCTCTTGTTGCTGTTGGGAGTCCGTCTGCTCATATTGCTGAGAATCGCTCTTTTGTTGATAGTCAATGACCGCAGAACCAAGGTTAGGCACCGTCGGTACTGGGGCAACGGGCGTTCCAACAAAAGGATTTCCTGTGACAAGAGACGGTGTCTCGCTAATAACTGAGGCCGCTGCCTTCACAAGTCCAGATCCAAAGCTACCAAAGCTACCCCATCCATATCCTGGAGAAGCTTTTGCCGCCTCGGTAGAAGCCACCGATTGATCTTTTGTGATTGAAGAGCCAATATCAGCAGTTCCTGAAGTGTGTTCAATCTCGGAGGAAGTTACAGCCCTGACCGGCTCAACTCTTCTTACGTCCTCAATAGAACTCTTATCAGTCATTTTCTCGAACTCCGAAGATGTAATGGAGCGTTCAACCCGTCTCGCAGTCTCCGCAGCTGTTTTGATTTCAGAAGAGGTCGATGATCGTGAAATCTCCGTCCTTGATGCAGTCTCAGATATGGCCTGCTGGCTCCTCTTCTCGAATTCGGCGGATGTCTCAGCGATAGTCGTCGATTTTGAGATGGAGTCGGAGGAAGCTTGTTGGCTCCTCTTCTCGAATTCGGCAGATGTCTCAGCGATAGTCATGGATTTTGAGATGGAGTCGGAGGAAGCTTGTTGGCTCCTCTTCTCGAATTCGGCAGATGTCTCGGCGACCACTTGTGATCTAGAAGCAGACTCGGATGAGGTTCTCTGACTTCTCTTCCCGAACTCCTCGGAAGTCTCAGCGGCCATTACCGGCTGAGCGAAATAAAATGGGGGCGGTGGGATAACCGGCATGCTCGGGTCAGTCTGGGTTGCTACTGGGGGAAAGTAACTCCCATAACAATGGATTCGTTGCGGAAATCTTGGTGTGCCAGGAGGTGGTGTAGGCGGCGTTTCGATGAGCTGAGGAACTCCATATGGAACCGTCCATCTTCCTTCAGTAAAACCGGGGATATCTCCTTCTGGGAGGGGATCGAATGTGCTGTAGGGGCGCTTCTTCTTCTTCTCTTTCTCCGTAGTCTTGTCTAGCCCTGCCTGTTCACGAACAAACTCAACTTCCTCACGGCGAGCTACTGCTGCTTGGCTGTCGCGCTTCTTGGACCTTTCTCTGCTTCGTTTGACTTCTCGTTCTTGGTACCCGGGCTGAGCCTTCTTCTCCCGACTGCGGGCACGCCTCTTCTCCTTCTCTACCCGCTCCCTCTCTGTCTTCTCGGCTTCCTTCTCGGCCAGCTGTCGTTGAAGGTCCTCGAGCTGTTTCTGGAGCTCGATACGCCTCTGTTCCTTCTTTTTGTTCTCCCAACGCCTCCGGACCTCGGCCTCGATATACTGCTCCTCTTCTGTCAAAGTCTTGTCTTTTTCTTCCTGATATTCCATGTCAGACACTGACTCCCGGAGTACTTCTCGCATTTTCTCTTCAGTCGCTTCAATAGTCTTCTCTGTCTCTACCCGCGTCTTTGTCTCTCTTCTTGACTCCACTTGGCTCCTCCCCTGATCCACTTTTCGCATTTCAATTCTCGCTGCTTCTGATGCAACTTTTCTTGCAAGATCCTGGGTTTCTTCATGTTTGTATCTGAATTCGGTTTCGGCCTGTGAGGTCTTTTGCTTCTCGATCTGTACTTGCATAGACTTCTTCTCCTCGACCTGAACTTGAGCAGTGTACTCCCTAGTTTTCTCCTCCTTGAATCTCGTTTGTTGCATTTGCTCCTGAACCATTTGGCCTTCCACCCTCTTGAGCTGACTCTCCTTCTCTTTCTCGGCGCGGATTAGTGAGTCGAGCTGTTGGGCCTTCTGGTCGTGCTGCAGCCTTTTCGCTTCAGTCTCGGCGGCTACGATTTTCTGTCCTTCAATCAGTGCGGCTTGATCTCTCCTGTGCTCATCGGCAATCTCAAGCTCCAGACGCTGTACCCGTAAGTCTTCCTGCTTCCTAAGTTCGTTGATGGCCGTGGCCTTCCTTTCTTCTTCAATCCTAAGCCTGGTCTCTTTCTCCTTCTCGATCTGGATCTGCTGCTGCACTTCACGAACTTTGGACTCATCCCTCGACCTATGGGCTTCAACAACGGTCTGCTCAAGTATCGACAGTCTCTCAACTGTCTTTTGGCGCTCCTGGACAATCTCGGTACGCTGGATCTCGATGGTTTGCTGCTCGTGCCTGTTGCTGTGCATCTCTGACTCGAACTTGATTCTACGAGTCTCCTCCAGAACCTTAGCCGCCTGAGCCTGACGATCCTGCTCCTTCAAGAACTCCATGCGTTGAGCCTCGAGCGATGATTTTCCTTGGATTGCTGTGTGAACATATGCATCCTTCTTCTTTTGGAATTCGGTCCCAGAAATGAAGCTTTCCCGCTGTTGAGAAGCGAGTACTTTCTTCTGCTCAGCCATGTAGACTTCTTTCTGCTCCTGGAGTCTGTGGATCTCGACCGCCTTCTCCTCGAGCTTCTTGCTGACCTCAACGCGGCGCATCTCGCTCTTCTTCTCCTCATCCTTGAACATCTGGAGCTCCCTCTCAAGCCTGGGCCTCTTCTCAACCTCGACCGCCTGGACCTCCTCAACTGCCTTCTGTGCCGCGGCCTGCTTCTCGAGCTCTCTTGCCTGCTCCTCAAGCTGCTTCTTAGTCCTCTGGAAGAGCTCATCACTCTCCCTCTCCCTCTGCAAGCGCTGCAGCGTCTGCTGGCGACACCACTCCCGGTACAGCTTCTCCGCCTCGCCCTTAATCGCCGCCATCTTCTCCTCGTCCTGCTTCTGCCGCGACAGCCGCGCCGCATCATCCTCCGCCTTCTCGCGCGCCTCCCACTCCAGCTTCTTCTTCAGCTCGATGGCCGCGCGCTCCTCCCGCTCCCGCTTCAGCTTCAGGTCCGCCTCCTCGCGCTCCTTCTTCTCGATCGCCAGGCGCAGCGCGCGGCGCTCCTTCTCCTCGCGGTCGCTCTTCTCCTTGTGCGCCAGGGCCGCGCGCTCCTCGCGCTCCCGCAGCTCGGCGAGTTCGCGCTGGATCTGCTCGGACCGCTCGCGCTCGCTGGTGTAGTGGCGCTCGCGGCTCATGATGTCGAGCTTCTCGCGCTCCTCGCGGTCGGCGCGCTCCTGCGCGTACACGGTGGCTACTTGGGCGGCCGTGGCGGCGGCGACGTCTTGCACGAGGGTGGCGCTGTAGCCGGCGGTGTTGGTGTGCGAGTGGGCGTGTTCTACGACGCCGGTGGAGACGGAGTGGACGGGGAGGGCGGTGGTGTTTGAGATGGAGGCGGTGTTGGTGTTGGTATTAGTATTAATGTTTGAGGTGGTAATGGCATGGTGGATTGTGGTGTTGTGATTATTGATTATGGTGGTAGATATGGGGGTGATTGTGGTGGTGGTGGGTGTGATGGGGGCAGTAACGGACGGTGTAATAGCAGTCGCAACATTAGTAGAAGTAGTAGGAGCATGAGTAGAAGTCAGGGCATGGGCAATAGTAGAAGTAGTATTAGTCGCAGCAGTAGTAGCAGCACCAGGCAGTATTTGCAACGGCGCATGTGCAGTCTGCTGAATAGGCACCGGTAGCGGCCTCCTCTGCTCAGCAACATTCGTGAATCCACCGACAACCACATTCGTTCCCGACGTCGCCGTTGAAGCGGATTCGCGGTGGTGGGATGATGATTGCTGCTGATGCGAAGACGAGTAAGACTCCCGCACGAAAGAAGAGCTGGAGGACTCGGCGACGGCTTCCCGGCGCGCAATGTGTGCCGTCGCCGTCGTCTGCTCCGACGAGGAGGACTGCGCGGTCTCGAATCTTGTGGGATCATTGGTAGCCTATATAATCACCGAAAAGCGGGGACGGCAGTGGACGGTTTGATTAGTTTTTTTTTTTTTTTTTTTTTATTTGTGATACTAGCTAACTAGAAAAAAAAAACACCACAAGCAAAGCAGAGCAGAAGGGAAAAAAAACATGCAAAGGAAAGCAGAAGAAAAAGCAAAGCAAAGCAGAAGAAAGGAAAAGCTCATACCATTGGATAGACCTTCGTCAGCTTCACCGGCCCCGCCGCCTCCTCCACAATCTGCACCCTCGACGACGACGACGACGACTCCCCGCCACGGGTGATCTTGCCGTCGCGGCCCATGTACACCTTGCCCTTCCTCCCGCCGCTTTCCTTCTCCTCCACCACAACGGTCTTCCTGCCGTCCTTCTCCTTCTCCTTCTTGCTCCGGTCCGAGATGGTCTCGCTGCGCCCCGAGAACAGCCCAAAGAACCCGCCGCCGCTCTTCGATGTCGTGGTGGTGGTGGCCGTCGTCGTCGTCTTGGTCTGCGAAGCCGAGTGTGACGCCGACTGTGAGTGTGAGTGATGACCGCTCTCCCAGCCGTCCACCGACGCCGTCCGTTTGCTGCGCCGGGCATCACTACCGCCCGCCCGCCCGTCGACCCACACCTCCTTCGTGGAGCGCCGCTCGCCGCTGGGAAGCGTCGTGAATACCTGGCTCTGCGTGTCTGTGACGCCGACGGTGCTGCTGGTGGTGGTGCTCTTTCGCGCCCGCTCCCGACTGCTCGTGACGTCCGTCGTCGAGTACGACTTCTCCATCTGCGCGCTCTGCTGCGCGTGGTGGCTCTGCGTGCCGACTAGGGTGCTTGAAATGGCGCTCGTGGACTTTGTCACGTCGATGGCCGCCGTCGTGCCGTACATCCACTGCCCCTGGCCTTCGACGCCCTCCTGCCAGACCTCGCTGCTGCTCGCCGAACTGACTGACCTACTTCTGCTTCTCTCTCTCCGTGCTACGATCTCGGACCCGCCAAACCATCCGCCCGCCTTCCGTCCGCCGCCAGAGAACCAGCCGCCTTGTGTAGATGCCGCGGTGGCGGTGGCGGTGGTGGTGGTGGTTTTGCTACCGCCCCACCAGGCGCTGCGCGCGCCGACGGAGTTGGAGCGCTTCACGCCGACGCCGACGGCGGCGCTGCCGGGGCGCTTGTTGCCGGTGGCGCTGGGCGACGGGGGCGTGCCCATGTCGTCCCACGACCTGCGGCGCTGCACGCCAAAGACGCGGGAGCCCGCGGAGCGCAGCGACGAGGTGATGGAGCGGTTGCTGCGCAGGGACGCGGCGCGGGTGGACGTGCCGTATGCGAGGCCGTCGTCGGACGGGGGGGAGGAGGAGTGTGATGATGATGAGGAGGAGGAGGAGGAGGAGCTGGAGGAGGTGCCGCTGGATTTGGACTTGCCTTTGCCTTTTGCGCGCGTCTTTTTGTGTGTGTGTTTGGACTTGGTGTTGGAGCTGAGCGCGCGGAAGAACCAGCCGGTCTTAGCCCGCCGCGACCCGAGGGAGCTGGGTGAGGACGAGTAGCGCCCGTAGGCGAGGCCGTCGTCGGAGGCGCCGCTGGCCGAGGAGACTTCGAACTGCGGGTGCGCGGCGGCGGCGGCGGCGGTGGCGGAGGCGGAGGCGCTGCTGGAGGCGATCGAGGTTTGAGAGGCCGTGCGGCAGTGCTTCGTAGATGTCTTCACCCTGCTGCTGCTGCTGCCGCTGCCGCTCTTTGCATTCCCAGACCCGAACCAGCTGCCAATGATCGACCCGCCCGCGCCCGCCTTCTCGCCGGCCGCGTAGTAGCGCGGATGCGCCTTCCCGTCGGGTCCGTAGCCCGGGTCGTAATGCGGCTTCTCCACGCTGCTGCTGCCGCCGCTGCTCCTCCTCCGCCGCTGCCGCTCCCGCCGCTCCTGCCGCGCAACCTGCACCGCACTGTACTTCTCCTGCCTCCTCAGCTCCTTCTGCTCCCTCCGTATCACACGCTTCAGCTTCCTCCTCGTCCTCGTCGTCTCCGACACCCCGCTATCACTATCACTGCTGCTACTGCTACTACTCGAACTACTGCTACTGCTGCTGCTGCTGCTGCTCGTCTCCTCGCTGCTGCTCCCACTGCCACTCACCGCCTCCTCCTCGCCGCGCCGGAACACAGGCAGCCAGACACGCCGCCGCCCCCTCCGAACGCGCCACGCGCCCCGCCGCCGGCTCCACCGCTGCCCGTAGTGGTGCGGCCGCGGCGCCTCCGTGTAGGACGTCCCCGGCGTGAAGCAGGCCGCGCACACGCCCGTGATCTCGCTGTACAGCTCGAATTGGCCGACGGCGTGGCGCTCCTCGGCGCGGAGGGAGTCCCAGAGCTTTTTGAAGGACTGTCGGAGGGGCGGGGGGAGGCTGGGGTCGTGGTTGTGGTTGTGGGGGGTGGGGGCGGAGGCGCCGGAGAAGTAGGATGCGGCTTCCCCGCCGCCGTTGTGTGTGTGGGGCGGGAGTGTGTGGTTGTGGTTGTGGTTGTGTGGCGGGTGGTTGTGCACGAGCGGCCCTGCTGCGGCGGCGGCGGCGGCGGCCGGATGCGACGCGTGTTGCTGCATCTGCCATTGCTGCATCTGCCATTGCTGCTGTCCCCCCATCTGCCCTTGAACTCCCTGGACTTGCACCTGCGGCTTCGGACTCACAAGCGCAACATTCTCCTTCCCGCCCATGGGGAAGAACGGGTTGACCTGCGGCACAGGCACAGGGTTGTACCTGCTCCCGCCGGGCGTCGACGGCGACGGCGAGGGCGGCGGCATCGGGATTGTTGTGGTGTTGGGGGTTGGCTGCGATAAGTATGCGGGGGGGGGCGCGAACGCGGGGTTGTACATACCTGAGCCGCCGGCGCCCGTGTAGAGGGAGGAGGCGTCGGGGGCGGTGTAGTAGTCGCTGTCGGGGCCCCGGGCGGTGGTGGTGGTGGTGGTGGTGCCGTTTGTGGGTTTGGCGGTGGGTTGGGGGGTGCCGTTGGTGGATTTGGGGGTGCCGTTGGTGGGCGGCGGGGGGTTTGGCGGGTTGGGCGTTTTCGTGGACATGGTTGGTTGTGATATGATATGTGGATTGGTGGGTGGGTATTGGGTGGGTATTGGAGGTGTTTACGGGTATTACTTTAGTTTGTTGTAGTTGTAGTTGTAGATATGGTGATGGCGATAGTAATGCAAAATGGTATATATGGAAAGGAAAAAAAAGTAATAGGCCGTGAATATGGTGTGACTAGCAGTAAAGCTATAGTAGAAAATTGAATATTGAAAATTTGTTGTGAGATTCTTCTCTTGTGGAAAGAATCAGGCGTGCGTTTCTGGTCTTCTCCTACTCGCTCAATCTGGATATCGAGAGAGAGAGAGATCTCTATTCCTCTCCCCGACTAAAGAAAGGACTTGGCCTACGTGGTGGATAAGCAAGACCAGGCCTGTGCGTGTGCGTGTGCGTGTTCGTGTTGACAAACGGTATTTCGATGGCCAATGCAGGGCAGCCAGACTAGGCGGAATGGAAGGAATGGAAAGAGAGAGATGGATGGCGTCTAGAAGTAAAATAATAGACGAGAAGATCCGTTCAATGTTTCGTTCAAGAGTCGTGATATCTCCCTCTGTGGGGTGAGAGGGAATAAGAGATTGTAGAAACAGATGGATAGATTTTGTTTGTGGGGTGGGTATTGTGTGTGGATGCTGTCTGTCTCACGGTCGAAGGGAGGGGGTGCCGGTGTGGTGTCGATAATGATGATATGATGATTCTTGTTCCTTCACGCGCGCGGTCGGCCGGTGGGGAGGAGGAGGGGTCTGTTTTGATTTCAAAGAAAAATAAAATAAAATATTGGCTATACGGGTATGTAGTATAGGTTAAAGTGATCGGCACAAGAAAGATTGACGATCCAAAAGGAAAGAGGGGGATTTCTTTCAATTCATCCCGAAGAAAAAGCAGCCTGTCAGAGGGAAGCGCGAATGTGAGGACACCGGACCTCGTTGGAGAAAAAAGTGAAGTAGACAACAATTGGAGGATTGGAGACGTGGAGGAGGAGAAAAAGGGAAGATGCAGACGGAGGGCACACGGTGTGGGAAAGGGAAACGGATAGGCGCTTGCAATACTCTACACAGTAACTCAGAGGATAGGATAGGGGGGGATGGGAGAGGCTGGTTACACTGAATTGGAGATAGACTGAATTGAGCTGAAAGCGATTCCCTGTATACCCAAGTGAATTTCGGTATCAGTTTTGCAGATATATCACTCGTTTTCCTGGCCGTGATAACTTGCAACTGCGCACTTCGCGGTACTTGTCAGAGTTAGTACCAACTTGGTTACTATTGCTACTAGTACTACTAACTCTTCCTACTGACCATAACCATTCACCCTGTTGACAGTCCCTTATCCTCTCCATATAAACTATAGAGCCATGTAGAGCAACTCACCCAAACGTATTCTATGTGCAGCACCTGCGCAGCCTAAAACCATACACTCCACCCTGATCGCCTTCAAGTGCAGCTCTCCTGCCTACCTACCCTCAACTCCGCACCCCCAGCGCAAACCTGATCCCAGAAAATTAATCTCGGGTTGGGTGGAAGCTCGGACGCGTGGTTGGCTGCTAACGCAATAGAGCACACTCACGCTATGTTTTCGATGGCGTCTAGTTGTATGGTGATTGGTGATCTCACACACACCCATACACATACCACACACACACCACACACATACACCGAGCGCGAGTTGCTCGTTACCCTCCCAACAAGAAGCAAACGAACGGGGCGTGTTTTGTTTGGCCCGTCTGCAGGAAACCGGGCCTCAGAGACAAACAAGCGATCGAATAATCGAATTGGTGTCCAGAGCGAGAGTCAAGAGCATGGGCCAGGGTGTGGTGGCTGCATGTGCATGCACACAGGGCTTGCTGGTTGCCGGCCCGCCTCTAATTCATAGATGATAGATCCCTCGGTCTTCAACGACAAGGGTACTTTTTTTTTTTTTTTTTCCTTCCTTCGTTTTTGCAGCTCTATCTGTCTAAGACACCTTATGTGTCCTTTGGCCCAATCACGTCCACGCCCATCTCTGCGGCCATTCCGATTCTCAACTTCTGCTTGGTCTGCGTCAAACCTTTAGCCCAATCTCAAATTGCAGACCCTCGTAGCTAGGCTTTTTCAGCTCACTTTGCCCCACACTCCTTGTAACGCCGCACCCCGGAATGAGAAGTTGGAAACGAAATTTCGGAGTGACATGACGAAGGCATAACGATCCAAATAAGCTGCATATTAACACCATGTCCAATTGAGCCTCTTCAAGTGATAAGCTCATTACGCGTGTTGCCTGCGCAGCTGCGACTGAATGCATGTAAAGTGTGCATTTCTGTAGGTCCAGGAATATTCGACAAACGACAGAGAATCCCGAGGTGCACTTACAAGAAGTAGGCGATTAATTCAAGACTAAAAAGCTTTCGCCTTGCAGTGTCTTTTACACGGGCCAAATCGAACGATCTCCGGAATTCCTCAATACACATACTCCAAGTATCATATGGCCGTGAGTGTACTAGTACATCACCTGAGCTTGAATATTCGAAATAAGGTTTTGAATTCCCCGGATGTTACAGATCATCCCGACCCGGTTGGCGCACGGCTACTAATCCGAGTGAGAATTCATGATCATAATGAACACTGTAATAATAGTAGTAGTCCAATGTCGCCAAACAGGCGTTTTACTTCTCGTTTCAAGGAGGCGTAGGTACATATGCCGGTACGTCCCTCCCGTGCGTGCCGATAACGATCTCAGTTAACCGCGATCAACCCATGCACACGATAGGATGGAGTAGAGTGCAGACTCACAAGTGTCTTCCTTGTCTGGAGTAAGGTACTCCGAGATGTGAATGCCGTAGAGTAGGTAGGTACCTTCCTTCCAGCTACCCTTGCATTTATCTATCACATGTTGTCCGGAGATCCTACCTACACATAGGCGATTAAATTTTCTTTCTCTGGCAAAAGCCAAAAAACGAGGATGTACGCATACGATCGGTTCGTTATCATGCACGGGCCTGCTCGATCAGCTGCAGCTGAAATTCTAGCCCTAGCCCTAGGTGTGTGTGTATGTGGAAAGGTCTGGACGAGCTCCGCTGAAGAATACGTAAGACCAACTCAGACAGCTCGTGATGGAGCTTTGGTGTTTGGTGTTTTGTCGCTAGATGTGTTGCAGTATCAGCTGACTGAATTCAAGTCTGTTCTGGAGAAACATACGCAAGATGATAGGTAGATACGTGTAGGTTGTGAGGACATCAACCGATCCTTGCAGCTCCGATATCGACATCCTCTCAGGTAGTGCGGAGGACCGAATTCCTGGAGGGGGACTCGAATGAACAGTGTGGGGATGTGGGGATGTGGGGAATAGATGAGCGGCTAGCCATTGCGAAAGGGCCCGCTGTCATCGGGATGGATTTTGATAAACTGCTTTGATTCATGCTTGAACTGGAGTAAACTTAATTGGTTCAGAAGACAAGGTCGATTTCATCGTTGCGTTTATTTGTGGTCTAGCCGGCAAGCCGCTACATGTTACGTGTACCTTCAAATTTGCCATGTAATGCCTCTGGGCTAACCTTTGTGAAGCGTACCATATAATCCATCTTGCACTGTATTGTGGGGACCGGGTAAATACCCGAGTGATAAATCATGAGCCATGGCATCTCTACTATTTTGCGCCAAATACGATTACCCAGAAGATCGATTCGGGAACATAATTATTCCTGGGAATTACTTACGGAACGGCTGATAGTTAACCCACCGGGCCGCCACGATGTCGATAGCAAGCACCAAAGTGGTAGTTAGTTGCAATATTGCTTAATTTAAAAACCTCATGGTCCCCTTTCTACTACTTTAGTACTTGTACCGTGCATGCCCTTTGCTCAAGATGTGGGTGTCTGGGAGTGCCAAGCTTGTCCAAAGTTAAAGGTTTGGCTCATTAAATTGCTACAGTTGAAAACTCTGAACCTCCCAATGGCCTTGCGGTATTGGGGTACGGTTCCCGAGGTAGTTTAACCGGGTGACCCCCCGGTTCGGCTCACTTCCTGGGCAGGAGGGTTATGTAAGATGTAAAGGCTTATAAACTTATCTTGGGTCACTAGGTTTTTTGTTTTTGTACTCTCTGGAGTTTGGGGTTTGGAATTGATTGTTTTTTATTTCTATTTCTTGTACTATGCACCAGTAGTGGCCTATATCGTAGTCGAGTTTCAATATATATTAGATGAATTTTTCAATAATGACGTAATATTGTTTAGCTTAGAGAACATTCCTATCAGTCCAAGTTTGTTAGGCAACCGCATTTGGCATGAAATAGTAACAATCCACTAGCGTCACTCCGAATCCGGCCAGTTGTAACCTTCTGTACACTGGCATTCATTCCTATCAATCTGATTACCCTACTCATATTTGGTTGTAACTCTTCCCACAGTCCCCTCCTCACCCTCTAGACTCATCTCATACACCACAATGCCCGAAGTCACGGTCATATCCAGCGTGTAGTCTACTCTGTAGAATACTTGACCCTTTCCATTCTTGTGTTTTGAGAATCGTTTCACCGGAACCGGCTCGGATGTCATTACGCATAATTTTCTCACAGCTAGATTCAGAAGATGTGTTAGCAGTGATTTTTAGGAGGGACCTAAGGTGGCTGACTGGAATCCCGCTTATCCGGCGCAACCTCCTCATCGCAAACCCAAAGTTCTGTTCTTAGCTGGTGCGTGTCACCAATCAAGTCTGTCTCTGCCACTGTGCGGTAGAAAGGAAAAGATATCTTCTTCTTTTCCGTTGTGACATCACCCTGGTGGTCGTTAGTGTCCACTGAACTTAGCTGGGTATGATGTGCACATACCCGTTTGATATACCACTGTATCCTGTTTCTGACCACCCACTCGCACCGCAACTCATGCCATTTCTTCTCATTCTCTTCATGCTTTGTTTCATCGAACTTGCTGTCGTGGACGACACCATAGTAGCGTCTGCTGAGGCGGGATTGCACAGCTGCAATGTCGCCTTGCAGGCCACGGATGATTGCACCGCGGACGACAGCACTGCTCCGATTCTATGAGTTAGCATCTCACAAAGCGGAGGCAAAAGGGTAAACCCACGTCCAGGCGTTTCGGGGTTGCATGATGGTAATTTTTCCGGAGCCCCATTTATTGATTCTTTGGTAGAGATATTCCGAGGAGCCAAAACCACCAACAAGAAGAATTGCCTACAGGTATGCTATCTTAGTTTGAAAGTGTGATATGGTAAATGGTAGTAAGACATACCGCAACGGGACCCTTTCCTGATTTTAAAACTTCAATGACTTGTTTTGATATCAGCTCTAAGACCTGTGACACAACGGGCTCGAATATGTCTCTGACATCCTTCCTATAGTTCTATGATTTAGCCCTGAAATTAGCCGTGCGATGAAGCCGTCCACGTACCTAGCAACCTTCAAGAAACCCCCCTTTACTCCTCTATCGTCATCATCTGGCACTCCCATCACGGGGACCCAAAATTCTCCGCCCTCCGCCTGCCCCTCTCTATCATCACTTCCATCATTATCTTCATCTGTCAATACAAACTCACGCTTGACATAGGTCTCCCAATACTGCACCATCTGGAACCTGGCACGATGATCCATAGCCTCGAATTGCTCCTTGCCAATCCGGGTGATAATGAAATCTTCAAATCGGCGATCTAGATATACAGCGCCGCAAAGAGCACCGGTACCGATGGCTACTTCGTTTAGTTGTAGGGGAACGAGGGAAGAGATTCGATAGGATATCAGGTCAACGGTGCCGCCACCGGCGTCGCAGACGACGAAGCAGTCTCCAACCTGAAAAGGCAGTATGATGTCAGTTGATTGTTTATATTAATGTTATATATATGTATATATTATTTTTTTTCGACTGATCTCTATTCCACCGCGATACTGGCCTTCACAGGCAGAGCCCGAAATTCCTGTCAATGTGGTTGTTGCTGATTCCCAACTCATGCTCAGTTACTGTTAGACCTGTCCTGCTAAAACAGATAAACTGAGTCCAGCAAGTGTAGGAATAAGCGATCAGCCAAAAAAATCCGTATGCTTCTTCGTGAGATTATATCTCATGAGACGATATATTCGGTAGATGTTCGATGCCGGTGTCGAAGCTCTCCAACGGCAACCCTAACCCTATAATATATATATAGTAGGTAATAAATAAAGGTATTTAACCCACCTTTACTGAATTTGGCTGAATACTCCTAAGTGCATATTCCGCAGCCCCCTCTGGCTCTGTGATTAGCTTCAATAAGCCCCCACTTGCCTCAGCATCGCCCCCACCATTCCCGAGGCCCAACCCCGCTCTCATAGCCGCCTCCATGGTCATTTGCCTTGCCTTGTCGCTCCATACGGCCGGTACGGTGAGCACATACTCAACCTGGCTCCGGGATATCAAGTCACGACCCAGGCGGCGCTCGAGTGTTTGTTCGGTGTACTGGCGCAGTGCAGTAAGGTAGTCGGTAACTACATCAACGGGCTTCTTCCCGCGCGGAAGTGTAGTGCGTTTCGGATTTACGAATGTCGGCCGCGGTTGGGAGGGATCGAGGAGGATCTTGATCCATGAGAGCTTCTGTGGATCTGTGGGAGGTACCTCAAAGCCCCTGTTTGCGCTCAGATTCAGCGACCGCCGTTTCTTGGGAAAGGAAAGAAATACGTACCATTTGAACCCAAGGGCTGTCGACGATATTAGCTCACTTCCAGTACTTGGAGGTCGCGATAATGATGCGCTGAGTTTAGGACTTCCGACTTCATTGGGACTGGCCGCTCGAGATATTGGAGGTGCTGGGTAAAGAATGTCTGAGGGTACTTTCCCCCAGTCTTTGCTGGTTTGTCCCGGCCAATGCGTTATTACTTCGTATTCTTCGGGGGACGATGTTTGCGCCCAGGCCACTGCGCTGTGTGTCGTTCTTTATGGATTGTTAGTGAAACTGTGTGGAGTGAACGATGCGAGGCATGAATCATGGTTACCCGAAGTCAATACCGACAATGATGCGCTCTAGTACTTCGCCATCATCATCAGTTGGTGCTGGCTTTTGTCCTAATGCGAGACCATGAAGGCTGGAGCGTAGTGAAGTAGTCATCGATCCTAGTAACTGAAGCGCACAATTTTAGACAAAGATTCGCGTTAAAGATGTATCTATATATGTAGTTTAGGCGCTCGCTTTAGAGGGGGTCATTTAAAAGCTGA